TTTTCGATAAGGCACATTTTTGTCGTATCATTAGCCACATACTGGGGGTGCAATAAATGTCGTTATTTCCGTTACAACATTCTTGCTTAGATTTGAGATCCTTAATTGGATGTGAGTAACTTTATAGAGGTCCGTATCGGTTATAAAGGGTTTAATAGAGGTTAAACTAGGTAAAGAGGAATTCGTTCATAAGTGGTGAAGAGTTCTATTGAGATCTGTACCTGTTCTCAGGCGCTTTAAAGACTAAATTTATGAGGCGGTTAAGAGATCTCAATAGAGGTCCGTTTTGGAGGTAAGAGGTACGCAATAATGGTGAGTCGCTCATTGTCCATAGTCCATATCGGTAAGGTGGTGCTTTGTAGTGGTCGGATGAGAGATGAGATGCTCTATAGAGGTTCATATCGGCGGGGAGAAACTCTATAGATACTCATGTTTGATATTAGAAATTCAATAGAGTTCCATTTCGGTGGCTAGGAACTCATTAGATGTCCTTTATTGGGATGAGTCCGTAATAAGTTATTTTATAGAGGTTCTTATTGGTGAGGACAAAATCTATATGGGTCCATATAAGAGGTGAAGAGCTCTTTGGAGATCTGTATCGGTTAGGAGACGCTTTATAGAGGTCAAGGTATATGGTCAAGAGCTCTATAGTTGATAAGAATACTTCTAGATGTTCGATTTGGAGTTAATAGATTTGCAAATATTGCGAGAAGCTTATTAGAAGTCCATATTGTAGGGTGAGCAGCTTTATAGTCCATATTGGTAATGAGGTGCTTTGTAGTGGTTAGTATATATATTATTAGTATATATATATATATATGATTCAGATCGGCAGTGAGAAACTCTATAAAGATTCTTATCAACGGCGAAAAGCTCTATAGAGGTCCGTTTCGGTGGCGAGGACATCTGTATCGGTTATAAGCGCTATATAGAGGTCAATGTATGTTGTCAAGAGTACTATGGGCGGCATTATTGGTTTGGGGGTAGTAGAGATATTTCTAGAGGTCCGTTTTGGAGGTAATATCTTCGCAATTATGGTGAGAAGCTCATTAGAAATCCATATTGTGGGTTGAGGAGCTTAATATAGAGGTTCATATCGGTAATAATGCGCTTTATCGGTAATAAGGTGCTATATGGGATTCATTATTGGTGAGATATATGTTGTTGTGTGACTCTTTATCGCGGTCCTTATAAGGAGCCCTGTATCGATTATGATACGTTTTATAGAGATTCTTATACGTGCGAATGTGATCCATATAGTTGGTTAGTTAGCTCTATTGAGGTCTGCATTCCGATCAAGAGCTCTATAGCGGTCAAAATATTGGTGTTGAGTAGTTCTGTTATATGAGGTAAAAAATTTCGTTATAAAAAGGATGGGGTAATTTTTGAGTAGTACTTCCTTCACAAAAGCCTTGCTTTGATTCGAATAAAATTTATTTCAAAAAAGGATCACAACTTATTTGAAAAATAAAATGTTTTTAAATTGAACGCCACAATATTTAAATGTGTGAAAATTCTCTTTGGCCAAAATGCGTATTTGGCGCTTCGGAAACATGCCAACAAGTACTATTAACATACCAATAAAATAGCTATGGAATTTGAAAATATGTACTAGTCGCCTGTCACCCTTGATTTGTTGTCGCATTTTTGTTTCTGACTTTTCTTTTTAGTTTCGATTTTTTTGGTGGGAAAATTGCTTTTTCGCGCTTCTTGTTGATGATGACCCTGAAAAGCAATTCAGCATGAGAGCATTTTTTTGCAGAATTTTTGTACAAATGACGACATTTACGAGGATGACATCATTATGTGGGTAGAAAGGGGTAGACAAGAAAATTATGGGAGGAGGATATAATAAAAGAAAAACACAGTGCAAGCAAAAATAAACTATTGCTGGTTTGTATGTGCAGTTTTGTTTTGGTTCGATTGTTGCAGAGCACGGTAATAATCTCAACATAACCACAACCACATTAGTAAATGATTTTTTTATTTTTAGTATGCGGATTAAGTAAAAATAGAAGAAACGAACTGAAAAACCCACAAACAAATATAAACGTAATTAGGTAATTTAGTTAGTGAAAGTCCATCATAATGACCCCTGGCCCATTTCATTAAATTTTCAATCGTTACACCCTCCGCCAGGTAGAGTGAGTCGACATTTTGTTTGCAAAACCTCAAAATATTTGACTGAAAGAAATTAGAGGTGTTGGACTAGCCTTTTCTTAACTGGGCTATAATCGCTCGCCTTTGAATTTGTAACTGAAGTTTTTTCACTGAATTGGACGAAGGATGGTCCCTGAGTACCACATGCACATTGTTCTCTTGCGTCAACGTTATATTTAATATCTTGGGATGGTGGGCTTTGCTAAGATTGTCAGGAGCTTATTAGAAGTCCATATTTGGGTGGTGTATAGCTTTATAGAGGTCCATATCGGTAATGAGGTGCCTTGCAGTGGTTAGTATATATGATTAGTGGCTCTATAAAGGTTCATATCGGCCATGAGAAACTATAGAGATTCATATCAACGGCGAGAAGCTCTATAGAGGTCAGTTTTGGTGGTGAGGAGTTCTGTATCGGTTATTAGGTCCAATGCATGTGGTCAAGTTTTCTATGCCGGTCATTATCGGTTTGGGGGTGGTAGAGATATTTCTAGAGGTCCGCTTTAGAGGTTATACATTCGCAATGATGGCGAGAAACTCATTAGAATTCCATATTTGGGGGTTGAGAAGCTTAATAGAGGGGTCCATATCGGTAATAGGTCAGCTGGAAATCTATATATGTCCGTATAAGTGGTGAGGAGCTCTATTGAGATATGTATTGGTTGCCTGGCTCTTTATCGTGGTTAGTACATATATGATGAGATGTTCTATAAAGGTGAGAAGGTCTATAGAAGTCAGTTTCTATGGCGAGGGACTCCATGGAGGTACTTATTGGAGATAAGTAGCTTCCCCTTAATTAAAAAAAATTAATTCGAACTGAGTTCTATAAACCAATGTAACTTCACCAACTAAAACTTAGTTATGGTAGGAGTATTAAGGTACTAATAGGTGGGTAGTAGGTCTATATAAGTGGAAAACTATGTTGAAGGCAGTTGAAGAGAACTCATAACTCTATAGGCGAATAGCCAGGACTTTCTTAATCTACTCAAAAAATAAGGATAATAAAGTCGAAAGCCACGTTGCAATATTGCTCCCTATATTGGTGATGAGGTTATAGGAATCTTTATAGACATCCGTTTCTGAGGTAATAGACTCAGGTCGGTGGTGAAGAACTCATTACAAGCCCACGTTGTGGTTGAGTATATTTTAAGAGTTCCGTATCGGTATTGAGATGTTTTGTAGTGGCCAGTAAATATGATTAGGAACCCTATAAAGGTTCCTATCGGTAGAAAAAAAAAACTATAAAGAGAACGATTTCGGTGGCAAGGAGCTCATTACATATCATTAATGGCGGTTGAGTAACTTATAGAGTTCCGTATCGCTAATGAGGTTTATCGCAATGGTTAATGTATATAATGAGGGAAAGAAACTTTACAGAGGTGCGTTTCAGGTGCTAGGAGCTCATTAGAGGTTGCTTAAGCTTGGTCCGTACAAGAGGGGAATAGCTCTATTGAGTTCTGCATCGCTTTAGAAAGATCAAGTGCTCTAGAGGAGTCAACATTGGTGTTGAAGTAGTAGGGATATTTATAAAGGTCCGTTTCGGAAGTAGTGAGTCCGCATCGGTGGCCAGGGGGTCATTAGAAGTCTATATAGGTTCTTATAGCTGGGGAGGAGATCTATATAAGTCAGTATAAGTGGTTAAAAGTTCTGCATCGGTTATGAGATACTTTATAGAGGTTCTTATAGGTGGAATGAAGTTCTATATAGGTCCGTATAATAGGTTAGGAGCTCAGAATCGGTTATGATACGCTTTATAGATATTCGTATAAGGGGGTAGGAGATATATATAGGTCCGTATAAGTGGTTAAAGCTCTGCATCGGTTATGAGATGCTTTATAGAGGTTCTTAGAGGTTCGAATGAGATCCATATCAGTGGTTAGAAGCTCTTTTGGGGTCTTTATTACGATAAAGATCTCCATTAGGTTTCAATATTGGTGATGAGTAGCTCTACTACAGAGTTCCAAATAGAACTGTATAGAGATACGTTTAGGTGACGAGAAGCTCTTACAGCTCTACAACAGAGTACCGAATAGAGATGATGTAGCCCACATATAAAGGTGCCGCCTCATTTTCGGTACTATAAATTGACATTCCGTTTTTTGGTAGAAAATTTCTTCTCAATATCAAAAACAGGAAAATAAAAAATATTCTTTAACAAATTCACGCCTTGTTGAAGGTTGAAAAAATATTCTTTAACAAATTCACGCCTTGTTGAAGGTTGAAAAAATATTCTTGAAAAACTACGCCACAGTTGACCATTGACCAAAAATTCTTTAAAAAAAATCCACGCCTAAGTTGAACATTGAAAAAAATATTCTTTAACACATTCACGCCTTGTTGAAGTTTGAAAAAATATTCTTAAAAAACTACGCCACAGTTGACCATTGAAAAAAAAAAAAATTCTTAAAAAACTACGCCTCAGTTGACCATTGAAAAAAATTCTTTAAAAAATCCACGCCTTCGTTGTTCATTGAAAAATTAGTTTAATATTTTTTAAAAAATGCATAGACCACCTATATAAAGGATCCGCATAATTTCGTAGAAACTTTTTTACAATAGGGGTACTAAAATTTGATTTTCCAGGTCGCTGATGGGTACTAAACTTTTTTGCAATTGTTTTGTCATAGCTTCAATATATAAACATCCCGATTCATTTTCGGTTTACCGAAGGTCTTTCCATTTTCCAACCTAACCCACTGACGGAAAATGTTGATTGATATTAGGTTTTTTTTTTGAATGTCCACCTTTGATGGAGGGTATCAAAATTTCGTCTTAACCATTCACTTTCATTATTGTAATTTGGGAGTGAGGGTGGCCTTGTGTGTGTTAATTTTTTGACTTACCTGATACATGCGACCATTTTCATCCTTTGCCCACATGGCATTGGATATTTGACAACGTTTGAGTATGACCCTCAACACCGTTTCCATGCATGTGTCATAGGTCAAGGCCGTATCTGCGGAGGGTTCTTTCTTTTTGCTGGATTTTGATTTTGTTGTCGTTGAACTATCCTGGCCAGAGGCAAGTCTTTCTTTGAGGAAACTCTATATAAGAATGAGTAGAGGGAGAATAAGAAGAACATTAGCTCTGTTTCGGAGGATTCATTCTCGTCTCCGGACTTACTGGAGTATGTATTTTATTAATACTTTTCAAACTACCACCAATGCCATTGGATTTCAGTGAACTACCCTCCCCATGGGTCTTGATAAGATATTCCGATTTTCGCCGACGTTTGGGAAATGTACCAAATTGATTTGGGGTCGAGTTGGGATCATCGCTGGCAGTGGCATTGGTATTATTATCGGATTTCATAGACATCGTCTGTTGTTGTTCCAGGGCAATGGAAACACTTGCACTATCCCCTGTGGCCGTTTCACTGCTGCCATTTGTTTTCCTAGTACCCGTGGGTGTTTGTGTCAAGACAGCCGTTGAGGGTGTCCGACTGGGTGCCATAACTCCAGTGGCACTTTTCAGGGAAATACCACCAGCAAGGGTGGCTGTTTCGGCCTTTTCCGATTTCGCATCATATTTATGGGCTAATATTTCCTGTTTCAGACGCTGTTCCTCGGCCTCGGTGGGTATGGTCACAATAAATAATACCGCGGCCATGGTTGGTTAGTAGGCTATTTAAGTTTCCGCGTTTATTCTTTTAAAATTTTCTATTTAATTTTTTTGTAAAATATGCACTTTTTCTTAAACAAAATTTAATTGTTGTTTTATTTTGTGTGTTTCGTTTTTTTTTTTCTTTCATACAATTTAATGCTCCAGCATTTTTAGTATTTATTTTTTTGTTTTGTTTTCAAAATTTTCGGTTTTCGACTGAATATTTTTTGCCTGTCCGCACAACCAAAGAAAAACACCGACTGAAATGCTTGTTGGGTCGGCGCTCTTCGAATAGCCAGCGTGCCGATGCCGCCTGTTCAAGCAAGCATTCAACAAAACCAAGCAGCCAGCCAGCCAGCTAGACAGCCATCAACACTTACAGAACGAACCAAACGCAAAAAATCAAAACAACAACACCAATAGTAATACAAACGACTCTGCTTATTTTACTCTTCTTTTCCTCACAAACAATAACAACAAAATCAACAACAAATGCCACCTGCTTTGCTCTGCCCGCCAACCTCTGTCATACGAAATGAAAACAAATGCCAACACAGATAACGGTCTTCACTCGCAACTGTGTGATATCACATTGAGAGAGAGAGCAAAGGAATAACAAAGTGGGAGAGAGGGAGTGAATGAGTGAGAGTACTGCGGTGGAGTAGGTGCTACAACACCGCCGCCACTAAACAAAATAATAATAAAAGCGATTTTGACATATTTTTGAATTTTTAATCTATAAAAAAATAATAGAAAATAAATTTATTGAATCATATACAGTGAGAGTAAAAAATAATCACATACATATAAGAAATACATATTTATAGATTTATTTTTTCAATATTAAAAATCCTCCTAAAGAGAGAGGGAAACGTGAGAGAACGTGCAACGAACAATAATGGTGATCAATTCAGATTGACAAAATTTCAGAATTTAGGGTCGATTGAAGTTAAATTTTTTGAATTACTATGATTTGTTAATAGGTCTGTATGTTTACATGGATCAGAATAAAATTTTTCCATATCCGCCCGTCCGTCTGTCGGTTGAAATTACGATAGATTTCGCAATATTGAATATATAGTTTTGAAATTTTTCACATACATTGTTACTACTCAAAGGAAGTTCGATATAGAAAATTGTATATATATATATATATATATTGGATATATCGTTCTACAATTTTGATATAGGACCCATATAACGGTACCTCCGAACTTTTAGTATTTTGGGCATTTCTAACACGTTTTCCAACCGAATTGGCTGAAATTTGGTATGTTGTGTTTTGAGTGACACATCTTCCTACGAAAACAATATCAACATTGGTCAATTTTCTTTTGAATAGCCTGAATAGCCTACCTCCACATATTTCGAATTTTTGGTACATTTTTAAACCGAATTGGCTTTTTGGCGTTTTTCACCCGAAATTGAATTCAAACTTTTTACGATAGACCCCATATAACAATACTGGCTTTTATTCTGTATTATTAGTATAGTCTTTAAATATCGGTACCTCCACATATTCGGAATTTTGGGGATTTTGGGTACAAATTGACTGTAATTTGGTATATTGAATTAATTTTTTTACGATATACGCGAATTGGCTGTAATTTCGTTCTCATCATGTGTCAAAGCGCCCTACCAAAAATTTACCATGGCACAGCCCACGATTTCTATAAAGATGCCGAACGATTACAGGTACTTTCAATGTCCGCTCATGGTGGAGGATCTGTTGACGTGAAGTTGGGCGCCAAGATCATCAATTCAATCAATTCAGAAATTGTCGTGGTAGAAATACGAGACACACCCGCTGTCTCTTCTACAGCAAATCACGAAACACTAAACACCATATATTGCTGTTCCGCGCCTAGAAAACGCATCGTTCTTGCAGTTAAACTGAGGTGAGATCCGGGAAACAAAGCTGACCGAGAACTGTAGGTTACAACGTTGTGCGAAAGAATCGTACCAGAAGCGAAGGTGGGGGACTTGCATTCTTGTTGCACCATTCTGTCGGAAAAATCGTCGCCAAGAGGGTTGATTGGCAAGGTATCAAAAAGAGTTCTCCAATCACCGCTTCAGAGTGATGCCCATCTCCCCCTGAGAGGAATTTCCGGAAAATCATTACGACTGTTGTTTCTTGCTATAGATCTGCCGGAGGAATACCCGAACTAAGACAAAATTTCACAACAATGAAAGTGACGAGATTGAATCGTTAGAAATCGAAAGTCAACAATGCCACATTGTTCGTCGATGTGTGTAGACTCAAATCTTATGTGGAATTCAGTATCAATAAATCGAAGTACCGTAGAAAGGATTTCCACAGGGTGGAGTGAATTCACCGGAACTGTTAAATCGGTATCTTTCGGAAATATCACAACCACTGGATGGCGAAAATGAACCTGGCTCTCGCTATAGACCTACCGGACGAATACCAAAAGTAGGACCAAACTTCGCAACAGAAGCCACGGAGCGTTAGAATTCAGAAACAAAACAAGTCGAAGGTCCCTAGAGTGAAACAGGGAATTACTTTTCAGATAATCCATATCCACCGGACGACGTAGAGATTGTAAAAAATGCGGATAATGACCCATCGAAAGCTTTTGATTCTGTCAACAATGCCAAGCTCTTCGACGACGTATAGAAACTCGAGTCATGTGTGGAATTCAGAATCAATGAGTCGAATCCCGTAGAATAAGCCATCGAGTTGCCCAAGGTGGTGTAAATTTTTCGAAACTGTTTATCAGGTACCTTTCTGATATTCAACAACCATTGGCTACAATGAAGCTCCGGCTGATCATTATGATCGATGAGAACCAGATTCCGACCATTGAACTACCCTAAGAAACTGAGAAGTAGGAACAAGGTATTCAAGCCGCTAACCGGCAGCACTTGGGGAGTTGAGAGGAGGCCTTGTTAAGCTATTATAAAACAATAGGAAGAATAGAATGCGTGGAAGAACATTCAGACTTGTCCGAATGTCGTCCTGAAAATTGCAACAGGCTGTCTCATGACACCAATGAATCATAGAATTAAGCAGGGAGTTTCCCAAGGTAGAGTGAATTCACCGGTATTTTTCTGAAATTCCACAAGATGTCTCCTCATGACAGCAGTGAACTATCTTCATAAGGAGGAGAATACCATACACCATCCACCGGTCTAATCAAATGCTTGGGTGTTATCGTCGAAATCTTTATGAGCTAGGGAGAGACAGAGAGAGGTCTAAAGCTATATAAGTCAACCTCTCGATCAACTTGCCTATTAGGCAAGTGAATAGTCTTGATTTTAGTCTTTTTAGAGCTGAAGGGATAATTTCTTGACCGAGGCAGAAAAGCCCAACTTTCCTCAGTTAAATTGATGAGAAGATTGGCCTTTTTCTGTGGGCTTTCATTGATCTCCTCTAGCGTAATAGGGTTTGAGCAAGACAGTATAAGCATTTTGGAGGTTGCACTTGTAATATTAAAAAAAGAGGTGCTCAGTGACACAAAGCACTTATTTAGTACACCTTGTGTAAGCCTCACTTTCGAATTATCGATTATCCCAGTTTCGGTTTTCCACAAAACCTATTAATATGCGGATATGAAAATTATGCCATTATGTCTTTTAGTACTTTTCGTGGCCCAAGTGCGACATCACAGTTCAGAAATGTTGGCTTCCGTGGTTCACTGCAACCAATTATTGCGGCATTTTTTTTTGTAAAAATATTTTACAATTTACTTCGTTATTTTTACGACTTATGGATGTCATTGTACTATTAAGTATTACTCATAATAGAGAGTGTAAGGGAATGATTTAATGGTTTGAGAACTTAATTTGAAATTCGAATTTTTTTAATTAATATTCATATTACTAGATTTATTTATTATTATTAGTTTGGTGGTAAGGTGGGAGGAAGTGCGTTGTCATGAGTTTTCATTATTTATATTCCGAATGACGCGTTCATTATTTTCCACCAACAAATTTACAAGTGATTGTTGGACAACACCACTTGTTGTAACCTTGCATTAATTATACCATAATTTCGGTAAAAAATGCGATTAAAAAGGGAACACCTTAACCAAAGTATACGAAAGAGAAGCAGAGAGTATTAAATTTAAAAAATAGAGGAATTGAAGCACTTTGGTTAAAAATGGTATAACTTTATGCAGACAACTTTGAAGGAATAAAAGAAGCCACTAATAAATAAACAGTGAATAGTGAAAAGTGACAAATGAACAGCGAATATTTAACTGAAAGACAATACTTGCGTTTAAGTGGAGAAGCCGATACATTGAGTCTATATTTGATAATATGATTGGAAATGGCGATGATGTCCAAGCTTTATAGGCAATTGAATAAGAAGAAGAAGGAGTATTTACGGAAGAAGTGCAAGACTCCGAAAGTGAAGACAATGATGAACGAATTCAATCCAAATTGAGGTAGATGTGTCTGAAGATGAAAATGACAGCGAAACTTATATGGTTGAAGAAAACGCACTAACATCAAGCACAACAGAAAGTATGATTGCACGTGATGGAACTCAATGGCACCAAGCACCATCTGTTTCTCATCAAATCAGGAGTCACAACATCGTAAGAACTCGCAGTGGTCCATTACGAATGATGGAATGGAAAACATTTTGATTTCATGTTCCAATAGTGAATCAACATAAGACATCAAATATTAGGTTGAGGAAAAAGAAATCCATTATGAAAATGTCGATAAAATCGGAAGTTGACCGATTTGGGTGCCATACCAATTAACAGAAAAAATAGGATGAATTGAATTTTCATCTGCGAAGCCATGGCCAAACGGATTGAGATAGACCCATTGCTTAAATGGATGGTAACTGGAGATAAGAAATGGATCACATGCAAGACCAGCAGTTAAAGTTGGAAAAAGTCATAAGTGAGGCAATAGTGAACAGAAATGGCACTATGTACAACAAACATTACATCGACATAATGGGTCGAACAATGCGAGCGGTAACAGCCACATTTGAACAAATATAGAGAGGGAGTCTCCCAAAGTGT